TTTTTTTTTTTTTTTTTTTAAAGAAGGCCCTTTCTTTTCAGCATGGAAATTGTGCATTCAAAGGTGAAATGAGCAAATAAATGGTCCTGGAGTTTCACGCCAACATCTGTTTTTAGTGTCATTGCATTTTTCACATCTCCTGTTATTTCTGTGACTTTGTAGAAGCGAATATAGCCCAGGAATTACGTTATAAGGGAGCCAGACTGCAGCTGAGTATAAACCCCACACTCCAGGCGATACGTCACATGGAGCACTGATGCAAACACCGGCTTGCTCTTGGCTCTGTTAAGTCTGGGAAGAAGGACAAAACACTTGTCACAGAAGGCCACATGTCTTGTGACATCAGAAAGCTTCCAGTTGAACCAGACTGTTGCATTTTGTTTAAGTGCGGTGAATTTTCACTGGCAACTCATCCAGCCAAAAGTTTTGAGGCATCTACCTGAGTTCCTCCTTGAGGAATTTTAAAATTTAGGGCCTGCACATTTCTTATATATTTGGTGCACATGGGATAAAATGTAACTTGAAAATGAAGTAGGTGCAATTTTATTCGAATCTGAATCCATACTCAGATTTGCTTGAGCCTTAGGCAACTTGGAAATGTACCATTGTTTATAATTATGAATTTTCATTGATTTAAAATTTTGGATAGATGTATGTGTGGTTTTGTTTGTTTGTTTTTTTAAGAACTATATAAAGTAGAGAGATTGTGTTTTTAATAGCTCTCCCGAATACTGGTTTCAGTATAAATTTGTGTCAATGTGAGAGTGTGTGTGTGTGTGTGTGTAGAAGCATTAATTGTAATGAAGGCCTTTTGTCTTTTATTTTACATACTTTCTTTTATATTTTAATACTTCAGTAACTGAACCTTAGAAATAATTTATTTCAGGATTTGTGTTTATGAAATGCTCTTCTCTGGATGTTTCATTTATTTATTTATTTGCCGCTTTTGCCTCTTGAGTATCATTTAGAGATGTTTACTGATCCTCCTTTCACCCTTTCTCCCTTTTCTCTTAACCTAGATTTTGATTCACTGAGAGACGCATTATTTGTTCTCATGTGTTGAGGTTCTTTATTTTCAAATAAAAATAAATCTGGTCACTTGTATCCAAATTAAATCACGAGTGTATAGTAAAGACAGCCTTGTTCAGATAGTATATTTCTGTGAAAACTAAATAGAAAGCCAGTGCCTTCATTCTCAGAGAATTGAAATTCCGTTTGAAATTTCTCTGAGTGTTGTCTCGTAAACCCCTGAACTCACAGTTATGCAGAAATCATCACCCTGGTTCTGAACGTTTTTAAAAGCATTTAAAAGCACTTTGTTTTGTAACCTGTGTATTTGAAAGTGATTTTTTATGTAACTAAATCTTGTAAAGGCCGTCTGACTCAATACTTCCTGGACTTCAGCCTTTGGTACTTAGATTTTTGGATAGGACATTTGTGTTATGCCCTTTGCTCAATCATACTATGAAGAAAAGCAGAAAGTTGATGTACAATCTTTTATTTTTATATTTTATTTTATTAAATAAAATCTCTTGTGTAGATTTTAGAATCTATTAACCTATTTAATTACATTGAATACTTTGTAGAATAGGTTTTAAGAAAAGTTTCTGATTTAATTAAAATTTCCAAAAGAAGAATAATTGTCACATTGGTGTTTATAAATTTATGAAAAATATTCAATGTTGATGATAAAAACTTCCTGCACTAAGTTTTGCAGGCGCACTTAAAACCTGGGGAGATACTGATTAAGCATTGAGTTTAGAATGATGACTTTCAGTGGTGCTGCATGTCAGATTAGGTGGTTGCCTTGGACGGCTTTGCATTGCCGGGATTTCACTCTCTATTTGATTCACAGTGTATCATCATAACCAAAGTCTGCACGGAGGAGGAGTTCAGGGGAGACGGCTCTGGCACAGTAGGGGTTCAATTAGCGTCATCGTTAGAAGTCAGAAAGGATTGGCGGGAAGGGTACAGCTCAGTGAGGGAGGAGGGTACAGCTCAGTGGTAGAGCGTGTGCTTAGCATGCATGGGGTCCTGGGTTCAATCCCCGGTCCCTGCATTTAAATAAATAAACAAACAAACAAACCAGCCAACCAACCAACCTACCTAATTAGCCCCTCTCCCCCTGCCGCCACCAAAATTAAAAAAAAAAAAAGGAATTGAAGAATCCCAACTCTTTACCTTGCCTTTGTGCTTGTGCGAGAACTCTGCGTCCTGGCTCCATGGTGAATAAAATCAGAAGCCACGATGATGCCGACTTCTTCAGGCTTTACCACTAGCATCCTTCATCCTTCTGCAGAACTCTGAGCGTGGCTGGTACTTGTCCTTGATGCTTGGTGTCCCCTTTCCTTCAGAGTCGTGGCACGTCTAATACATCCAGAGAACAGGCTCCTCAGACAAAATAATCTGCCTCTTACATGTTCCTAAGAACTAAACCGTGAACTCTTAGAACTAAAACGTTCCAAAGTCTTGGAAGCTTGACCAGCAACTCATCTTCTCCTCATCCTGTTCCTCTTCCTCCTATTCGTTGGAAGAATAGCTTGTTCAACAGAGAAATCTGTAGTAGAATTTTGTCTTCCCTCCCTCCTTCATCGCATGATAGGTTCTCACGTGATGGATTAATGTTAGTGGTACAGACAGAAAAGCAGACCTGGAATTCTCATAGGTTTTCTTAGATCTGACCAACTTCTCAGTTGTTACCAGAAAGACACAGGGTGTGTGTTCTGGGAATGAGTGAGGGTACCTTAGGTCTCAAGTGGCCCACAGGGGCAGTTTTCATGACAGACACTTGGCAGTTTGCAATTCTGGTATCAATATAATTTAAAGTGCTCTATGATTTTCTGCCAAAAGCTTATTTTTATAGTTCAGTACATGAAGCCATTTGATATCACTTAACCTTTAAAGAGAAACAGGAATTTCTTTGATTACTTGAAATATTGTTTGTTCCCCTTCTATTGAAACGTAAGTATATATGAGTTAGGAATTGGCTCCCTAATAGCATAAGCATTAACTTCAGTAGGGTATGATTTATATTTAAATCGAGTCTGTGTGGTATTCATGAAAGGCTCTTATTCATATAGTGTATTTGACAGCAGAATATTCAATTATGATGTTTATTTATGGTGTGTAGTTTCCTTTTTTAGTTATCAAAGTATAAATACCTGAACATTTCTAATACTGCTGATTGAATAATATTAATGAACATTTTTTTTTACAAAATAGCTCTTATAGAATTGTAGTAATAAAAAAAACCCAAAATGCATAACTTATTGACCTTTTAAAGATTAAGAAGGTAAAGACACAGCATATTTTTGAATTTGTTTTTAACCAATTTTGATTGTTATCATGTGGACAAAAAAGAAAATATTTAACTGCAGCCAGTGGGTGTCCATTCAATAACAGGGTGTCACCAAGTTCATTCAAAGCAAGTATTTTGTGGATTCAAGTTCACAGTCCACCAACAACAGAATTTAAACCTTGAGGAAAGGGGTGGATTTGTTCTACATGGTACCAATATTCTGGAAGGCCAGATATTTGAGAATAATATATATAGTTACTCTGCAGGTGACTGGAATTCTACTTTCCAAGTTGAGTAAGCCTTTCCTCCTGGCATCTTAAATAATGTTTATCTACTGTGTTCCATAAATTTAATTCAGAAATTAATGAATTGATTGCTTATGTTCTTAAATTAATTTTGTCTATTTAAAACCTTGTCGGGTATTTTCTTAATATTGGCGGGATGGTGTGTAACAGAAACATACAGGGTTTTAAAAATACCATCAGTGTTTTTCCTCCTCATACTTACTGGTGCTCTTTGGGAGATGCCGAAGGTCGGAATTGGTGTAGAAAGAGGGGTAGATGAATTAGGTTGTAAACTGCGCATCTGATGACTCATATCAGGAGCTGGTTGAGGTGGAGGCTTTTCTTACTATGGTTGCTTATTTTTGATCCCAGTCAACAGTGTCCTCCTCACGAGATAACACAATCAAGGTGTGTGCTTTTAGCTTTTCCACATGACAGATTCTCAGCCACACCATCTTTTGCCTGTCGCCCTGGGGACCCAGTGCCATGCAAGTGAGAAAGTGTTGATTCGCGGTTAGGGGTCTGGTCTGTGGTCATGAATCATTGCTGTCTTTTGGGGGAGATGTCAGTGGGGGTAAAGGGGGCTAAGAAAACACTTTCTCGAGTGGGGATCTGACTTTGCCCCTGAGGATATCACACCAGTGTAGACACGATTTCTCCACTCGACAGGAGCCTCAGACGTGTCCCACTCAGGGTGACTTTCAGCAACATGAGACGGGTCCTCCTGCCCTGCTGTGCCGAGCTCATCAAATGCTTTTTACAAGAGCTTTCACATTTCGTTCTCTGAGG